AAAAAAAAAACTTGTATAGTCCAGAATCAAGATAGGAAATTCTGGCTTGGGCAAGTTGCTTTTAATTATTTTGGACTGTTATAAAAAGCAACTTTTATGCATCTCACCCATAGTTAAAAATACGCAATCAGGTTCTGACTTCTGAGTGGCAGCGAGAAGGGATGCTTCATCATATATCGATGTCTATATAAAGTTTATTAGTAGGCTAGGCCAAAAATAACTACCCTATCATAGCCACTACAATAACTCATGGCCAGAGACACTAGCATTTTTCCATTTGCCTTCTGTTTTTTAATAGGGGCTGCTGAAGAGGGTGCATAATTGAGTTTGTAGTAGTATAGTATAGGGATATTATTATCAAACTTGTTTCAGCTTTTTTTTGTCCAGGACCCTTTAATTATGCTTTCTTTTTGGCTCCCTTTTTTTGGTTTAAACTTGTAATTGGTTGTTAGAAAGTGCTGCTACACGGGCTCATGGGCTCACGTTACGTGCTTTTTTGGAACCTACAAATAACATGGGTTCTTAAGTTACAGCAATGAGATTTACCATTTTAGGCCCAGACCCTGATATACCACCGGGCTAGAGCCCAGCTAGTTAATCAGCCCAACACCTTCACTACAGAGTCTTTGACAAAAAAAAAACTATTTGCAGCGCTGGGGATATTTTAAACTTTCACTAAAATAGTTTATACATGCATAATTGTTTTTATAATTATATAGAACATAATTTTTTATACAATACACTAAAACCCGTCGGCCAAAAATAAAAAGTTTTAGCGACCCAAATAGAGAAAAAGGATTGAGGTTTTGTTTATACATGCATAATTGTACGTGCAAGTGGCTCAACAATGTGTTGAACTCCGCAGCTTGCTTTACTCGTGCCCAACTTCATAATAGCTTTCTCATGGATCTGCATTGAGGGTCCAGTGAAATTCACATCAAATTTCTCAAATAATGCACAAGTCAATAAGGCTGGAGCAAATATTAGTAACTTGACAATTGTCAGTTAAATATAGCTGTCTAACACCAAACACGCAAAGAAATATCTGGAAGTAAACTTCGACCACGTCATAGGAATGGAAGGAAGATAATTTTTAGCGAGTTATGCAATACGATATATACTTGCAACTGCCTCTTAGTTTCTGTTTAGTTTTAGGGTTTTAGGGTTTAGGGTTTATCCGCAATGACTAATCCTCTTTGAAGCACTTCCTCCTGTTTAACCATTTTTAGTAATAACTTCTTGGTATAAGTTTTGGTTAAAATACCTTTTTAATTTTTATAATTTCACTAATTTTATCTTTTAATCTTTATAGTTTAAAATTGATTTTTTTTTAATTCTTATATTACAATCTGTTAATCCCTTTTAGTCTCTGATGTTAATCTTTTTGCAATAATATTTTTATGTGAGTGACATAAACTTGTTAAATCTACTTAATGGTGATATATTTAATTTTTTGGATGACAATATATTATTTTATAGTTTATCACACAATTATCAATAATTCAACCACTTATTTAATTCAATAAATATTTGATTATTCAAAAAATTATCTTTATTTTTTTATTTTTTTCTCACAAATCATTAATCGACAAATCATCATTCACAAAATTAAATACATCATCACATAAATTTAATAAATTTAAATCACTCGCACAAAAATGACATTATAAAAAAATTAACGAGACTAATATATAAATATATGGAGTAAATATCTTTTAAACAATATATACCTAAAAAATAAAATTAGTAAAATTATATTGACTAAAAAAATATTATAATCCACGTAATTTAAAGTGCAAAAATTAATTATGTTAACTATAAAATAAATAGACCTAAACTTCATGGTCTAACAAAGAGGCCTAGAGCCCCCTGCCTAGGGCTTTCTACTGAGGTCTTGAGTTATGATAAATACAAGACACTTTAACCCTGAGAAAAAACTCACATTATCTCTCGACTAATTTTATCAATGTATTTTAATTTTCGAATGAAAAGACAAAAATATTAGACATTTAAAGACACCCATCAAACAAGTTACTTCCATACACGCAGTACTTGAAAGAATCCATCCATCTACGGAATGACGAACATTATTGATAAACTAAAGGTAATTATACTCGATTGAAAAACTTAAATTCAAAACAGATATTGCGCCGGTCAAAGTTTATTCATATGCTGCTAGCAAAATGCTTTTTCACATCCAAATCGCATTGAAACATGAAATGACACTTCTCCAAATACAACAAAACTCGATCAAAAATACGGAGAACAAAGGGGAAACTCAATTGAAAAGCAACGATACCAAGCCAATTTTGCTTGATGCAATTATTCTCAAATCCATAAACCTATAACGTGTCTAACTCCTATTTAAAGAACATGAAAATGTTGGTGCCAATAGTGCAAAAACCTCCAAAAGAAGCCAACACCTTTTTTAGTATTTGTAATCCTTCACATGGAGAGACTCAGAGGCACCCTCAGCAAGGGTAGCATCACCCTTGTAAGTTCCAAGGGTTGCATGTGAGTTTGCCTTGCACCTCACAATGAAAGCATCCTGAGCCTTCTTAATGTTTTCATCTTTCCCAGACCATGCCTTGAGAGTGCTCTGCTGAAGTGCCCTTCCAAAGGAGAAAGAAAGGGACCATGGCTTCTTTCCCTGGAACTTGTTCATGGCATTGAGGTTGAGGGTTGCCTCCTCCTCACTCTGTCCACCGGACAAGAAGACAATGGCGGGAACTGCAGCCGGAACAGTTCGCTGCAAAGCTGTAACAGTGTACTTAGCTATCACCTCTGGGGTGACCTTGGGAGACTCTGAACCAGGGGTCACCATGTTGGGCTTCAACAAAGTACCCTCAAGCAGAACATGATGGTCACTTAGGGCCTTGTAGCATGCAGCAAGAACGCGCTCAGTCACCTCAGCGCATTTGTTGATGTCGTGAGGTCCATCCACCAAGATCTCTGGCTCCACAATAGGTACCAGACCATTCTCCTGGCATATGGCTGCATACCGAGCCAGACCATACGCATTTTCATGGATAGCCAGCTCAGATGGTTCATTTGGGCCAATCTTGAGCACAGCACGCCATTTGGCGAAACGGGCACCGGCTTCATAGTACTTCTGGCAACGCTGACCAAGGCCATCCAAACCTTGAGTAGTGGTTTCCCCATTAGTTCCAGCAAGCTCTACAGTGCCCTTGTCAACCTTAATACCAGGAAGAACTCCACCTTCCTTCAACAAATCCACAAAGGGTTTTCCTGCAATAAATTGCATTAAAAAAAAAAGTTGAGAAACTAATAAAAACTAAAACCATGGCAAGGTTTGGACAAAAATCTGAAAGGAGAAATGCTATATGCTCCTACAATATCCCCTACAATATCCCCCAACTAAACCCTCCTAATACTTTATAAAGAAAATATTTTATAAAAATCTAGATGTATTCATTGTCATAGAAACATAAAATGCATTCATTACTTCATCTAGTAAGATACTAAAAATGTACTGTAACGCATTCTTTAAATATTGTAAAACTGAGCATCAATACCTGAAGCTGTCTTTTGGTATAGGGTTTCCTCGAACAATATCACACCACTGAGGCACTCAAAAGCACCAGGTGTAGTGAATAGGAGCTCACGAAGAGCACGCCTGTTTGTTTCAACATTCTCAACATTAATGCTGGCCAAACGCTTGCCAATTGTGCCAGTTGACTCATCAGCAGCAAGGATACCCTTCCCTGGCGTGCCAATGTAAGCAGCATTGGCAATGAGTTCATCTGCAATTCACACAAATTCATTAGAACATTAACCAGTAGAACATATAAATTTTCATCTGTAATACAATATTCTCACTTCAACTTGAAATAAATTTAAACAAGGAGAAGGCAGGTAAAAAAGAACAACCCTCCACAGTTATTTGCCCTTCTGAATAAAGATAAAACAACTTGTTCAACAATTAAAACTGATAAAAAAAATTAGTTCTTTTGGGAAAGCAAAAAATTAAAAAGACAAACAAACTGAACTAATTTTTATGAATACAAAATTATTGAATTGTATGGGGAGGGATCTAGAGTCTAATTTTTCAAAAATTATTTAGGAGGAGTTTAACATTATATATTCGTCATGTAACTTACTAGTACAATTTTGTATGACAAGATTCGTTCACTTTCAGTTTCAGCCCTTCTCTAAAAGACGTTTTATAAATCCATCTATGTTTCAACGGGTAACAGTTATTGTGTCCTTTAAAAGAGGTTTGTGCAACTTTATCACTCAACAACCTAGATCTCTAAATTCATGAAAGACCTCACCAAGTTCAAAACATTAATTAAAAAAACACTAACTGTTATTATTATTTACATCAGTAAACAACAACAACACGGGAATTCGGAGAATACATGCATAAAAAACAAAAATCAAATCGATCAGCTTTCGCGGGGAGACAAAGTTTACAAGTTGCTCTCCCTTTTCCAATCAGAACACAGAACCATGGACAAAATATAATTTTTTACATTGAAAAAGAAAAACTTAAACATGGATCGGAATCTGGATCTAAAAATTTAAAATTAAATTTAGGTAGCCATCTTAGTTCGCCAAAGCATGATGCAGAGTGTAACGGGTAAACTACAGCAGTCCAGGTAAGAAAAGCTAAGATTTTTACATCGGGATCAACATACCCAGATGACAAAAGAACTAGCCTAGAAGTTCAGCGTAATTGTTCGACTACGACAGTAAAAGAAAAACACCAAGCGAGAAGTGGAGAAACCTGGAAGGCATGTATGAGAAAAGAGTAATGAAAGTACCTTGGTATTTGCTCTTGAAGGAAGACATGGTGGGTTGAGATTGTGTGTTAGAAGAAGTGAGGAGAGGAAGAGAAGGGTTTTAAAAGCAACAGAAGTGTGAAAGGTGAGAGTGACTATTTATGACTGTGAGATAGGGGTGGCGTGGAAAGAGGGTAGGTGCGTTTCCTTCCACGTTCCTGTTCCCTTCTTTCTCCTACCGTGTTTGTATGCTTGGAAACGTGTAAAATCACGTTTAACGTTAAAACTATTATTAAAAAACACGTTATGAAATTAAATTTTGAAAATTATGAGATTAAAATTAAATAATAACATAATGAATTTATATATTAGTATTTAATAATATTTTAGTATATACAGGTGCCATATGTTTATTTTATATAATTAAATTTTTATAGTAAAATATATATATATATATATATATATATATATTAAAATTAAAATTTATATAATAACTTTTTAAACATATAAATTATTGATTTAAATGTGATTTTAGCTCGTCAAATTTAAAATTAATTTATCATAGTTATATAATCATGACTCAAAGTATTATGATATGATACGTATGTATACAAATGATAATTTTTTTTTTCTAGAATTAATAATATTTTAATTATATATTTTTAAATTATAAAAGAGAAATAGTTCAAATAAAAACAATATAAAAGGATTTTCCATTTTTTTCATCTAACTAAAGTTTCATACGTGTAGCAGAATTTGTTGGTTTACATAATAATTATTTTAAAAGTGGTATTTAAAATTATTATAAAAAAAACCTAAAAGATCAATGGTATGAATAACATAAATACAATACCAACCCTTAACATTATTGAGATAATTTTTAGATACTGAATTTACATGTTTGAGAAACTACTTTCATGAACACGGGATAGTATTTCAAACATCTTGTCCAGGAACCCCACAACAAAACGGAAGAGTAGAAAGAAAGCATTTTAGTACAAGATGTTTTGCACAAATTTTCCAGCACACCTCTTAGATTCTTTTAGGGTTTTTAGGCATCAAATGTTGACCAAATCAAGTGAGAATGCAAGGAAAAAGTGGGCTGCAATTTAAATGCATGTGCAAGGAATCATTTTACACATGGATACTAAAAAATACATGCAACATGCTAGGACTAAATAGCATGCAAGAATGACTCCTAAATAGCTTCTATATGTCATGCCCACTTCATGTTATGCATCATGATATTTTTGGTTTATGTAGTCATGCAAAGTATTTGGCATACATACATGGAATTTTGTAGACAAAATGGAAAACAAGACTTCACAAAACTTGAATGGATTGAAAAATCAAAAAGCATGTTCATAGCATGTTCTTCATGTTCATATGAGACTCAAACCTAAAAATGAAAAGGATGGATACCACTTAACAAGGAAACCTAAAACGTTCAAGGAAGGTTCACAAGAAGCATGAAATGAACCAAATTGGAAAGCAAGACACTTAGATCATATAAAAAGGAATGACAAGCAAGGAAGACAATGACATGACCGGAAAAAGAAAACAAGATTAGGAATTACCCTTGATGAACCATGGCTCTAGATACCACATGATGGATACCTCCCTTCCATGGATGAAGTAGGCATCTTTGAAGAGGGTCACCTTTGCCCAAGGATCTAGGTGCACCAAAGGAAAGAGAGAGACGTTAGGATGGGTGAAGAATTTTGGGCGTGAAGATAGGGTGAAGGTTTAGGCGTGAAAAGGTGGAAGCTCTCAAGGTAGGTTGGCTCACTCCAAGGTGAAGATGGAGGCCACTCTAGGTTTCCTACTCTTCATGGGTGGAGATAGGAGAAGGCTAGCCAAAGTTAACCTAGTGACTAAGGATGAGATGTTGAGGCATAAAATGTTCACTCAATATCAATATAATCCAAAGTATTTACACGGTGCATGGTTTAGGGTATTTATAGGGGAGTGAACATTTAGGGTTGCATTTGGAGAGTGCATGGCCGAAAATGCAAGGCCAAATGAACATCAAATGAAACCCAAATTAAGTAATATGGGATATGATATACGGGTTATGCTCTCATGCATAATTCTTGAGATTATTTCCTCAATTAGAATATTTAATTTGGCGTATATTTTGTTGGTTTTAATTCTCCTTTATTGCAGAATATTGCCAAATCATATCAAAGATATGAGGGAGATAATTTAGCCTGTATACTTGTATATAATTACCTATTGATCAATAGAATGGGAGACGATTCTTTTCCATAACTTTGTTATGGTATCAGAGCGTACAAAGTCTCGGTGAGAACGTGTGACAAAACTCTTCTCATGGATAAAGCTGAGATCGAGAAGAAGACCGAATTGGTGAAAAAGATACCTTCACCGTATGACTTGCATGCAAAAGATAATTCAGGAAATTTGAATGGAGGTTTTCGAGCAAATGCAATGCAAGTGAATGGAGAAACCAATGGGACTAATGAAAATGCATTGAGTGGACTAAGATCTGAACAATGGAAAACTCTAAAGGATTTGTTGAACAATCACAAAGGAACCACAAGTGACAAAATGACAGGTAAACATAGTGAGTGGATCATAGACACAGGGGCCTCTAGCCACATGACAGGAAACTTGAGTTTATTATGTGGGCTGAGAGACGTAATTGGGTGTCCAGTGAGACTTCCAGATGGAAAACAACTAATGGCAAACAAAGAAGGGACAGTGACACTTGATGGAGGATTGAAAGTGGAAAATGTGCTTTATGTGCCAACATTGAGTTGCAACCTGTTGTCTATTTCTCAATTGACAAATGAAACAAATTGTGTTGTCTATTTCACTAACAACTTATGTGTTATGCAGGATTGCACTTCGAAGATGCTGATTGGAGTGGGTGAACAACGAGATGGACTTTACTTCTTTAAAGGAATCCGAAGTGAGAAAGCACACAAAGCTAATGGAACTTGCGAACTTAATCTGTGGCATCAACGCATGGGGCACCCTTCTTTCAAGGTCACTAAATTAGCTTCCAACATGAGGTGTGATAACAGTATTTTAAAGAACAAACCATGTGATGTATGTTTACGGGCTAAGCAAACTAGAGATGTCTTTCCATTAAGTACAAATAATGCTAGTGATAGTTTTGAATTAATACACTGTGATTTGTGGGGGCCCTATAGAACCCCCTCTTCTTGTGGTGCTTCATATTTTTTGACAATAATGGATGATTTTTCTCGTGCTATTTGGATTTATTTGATTTCTGATAAAAGGGAAGTGTCACGTACATTGTTGAATTTCTTTGCATTAATAGAAAGACAATTTGGTAAACAGATTAAAGTGTTATGTAGCGATAATGGTACTGAATTTACATGTTTGAGAAACTACTTTCATGAACTTTTAAAAAAATTATATTATAATATAAATTATTTTTCATCATCTAAAAATAGTTTTTATAGTTAAATTTTATATTTATAATAACTTTTAAATTGATATAATTTATATATTGAAATATACAATATTTTTTTATTTATATGTGTAATTTATTATAAAATTATTCAATTAAATATGACACAAGCTAAAATATTTGTTAAAAAAATAATAATATATCCATCTTGTGTTAAAATAAACGTAAAAATATAAGCTACAAAACAATATAATAATTAATTTAAGTTATATCAATATAACGTGATTTCTTTTTTAGTTGTGTGTTTACATTAACTATTACATTATTTAATATTTTTTAATTGATCATTTTTCTCCAAAATTGACCTTTAAATAAAAAATTATTCACATTACAAAATTTTATAATAATAAAAAAACTGTTGAGTATTTCCTTCACATATATCATAGTTTACGTAATACGTTATTTTAAAACATATAAAAATATAAATCATTTAATTGTCGTAGTATATAGTTTAAATTTTACAAATTTATCACACAATTAAAATAATACATAGTTATATTTCATATATTTAAATTATTAAGATTGAAATAGCTTAATCTATCTATTAAAAAAACAATCTCCGTGTATTTTATCATTATTTAACTTTAAGTAAAATAAATAATTATTATTATTTTTGCAATACTTTTAACTTTCAATAACTTTTCAATAGATTCCAATGTAAGACAATCGGATTAGCGCTGGACTCATCTATCATCTTAAGATTCGTAATTGTTATAAAAATAAAAATAAAAACTCCTCAGATTCGCAACGAACTTTCAAGAATAAGTTTAAGATAATAAAGGATAAAACAGAACATTTAAAAGGTTCATATGCTTATTCATTATGATCTATAACATGTATAAATATATAACGATGATAAGGAATACATTATTTTTAGATTATTTAATTTTAAAGTTTTATATTATAATCTCATTTTTTTTATAATTATTTAAAAACTGTCTCCTATTATTAAATATTAATTATTATTTAATTTTAAATAATTGTTATGTTTATGTTTATTCTTATTTATTTAAAAATATACGGAAGTCTGAAGTGACTTTTTTTTTATATAAGTATATTCATAATAAAAAAGAAAAACTGCATAATACATCAATCTAATTGTTATGTTTTATAGATTGGTACCGGGTGCTAATTATTTACTACCTTTTTTTTACTGCAATTAATTACTACTTTCCTTTAGTATACAAATTTTAAATTATTTTTTATCATTAAAAAATTAGTTAATTTACTTAGTGACATTTTTTTTTGAAAATCAAAATTTTAGCTCATATTATTAAGAATATCATAAATAATATAATTTAGGATGTGAAAAAAATCATAGAGATTTGTACTTTCTATTACTGTTTTAGCAAGCTTATGAGCAATAATATTGACAAATCTAGAGGACATGAGAGTTTAGGAGGTTAACCATGATAGGTTTACATTGGTCAAGAAAGCAACCAAATTCAGTTATGTTAACAGAGTGATACTTAGTGATATTAGGTTTATAAAAACATTAAATTATTTTTTAAATTAATCATCTATATCTAATTAATGATAATGGAATTTTTTTCGTGTACACAATTTTTATACTATTTTATCTTTATAACTTCTATATAATATTTCATTTTCTCCTTTATCAATATTAATTTATACTTCTATATTATTAATAAAGAATATTTGTTTTATTTAATGTACACATTTTTAAACAATTTTATCTTTATAAAACGCTAATTTATATAACTACTTAAAAATCATTCA